CCACGTTTCATCACAATTGATTATTTGGTGTAAAAACGGCAATCATGTATTGCGAAGCAACAAAGATGCACACTTGCTTTTGCGGTCGATCATCTACAGTTGCGTCAGTTCGTACGGCACATACGAGTCCAATTTCCTTGTTTCACGCGCAGATCTTTTAACACAGCCGTATGGCTAGTTCCCAGTTTACACCCATGTTCACGAATAGTTGTGTGTGGATCAGATTCCACAGTCATCCTTATTTTCTCGTTATCAATATTGGCCGCTGGTCTTCCCCGAAGCTCGTTGATGATACTCAAATCGCCAGAACAAAACTTTTGCAACCAATATTTAGCATTCTTTTTCATCAGTGGTTCCATCTCCGAATGCGTGATTAATGTTTCTCGAAGCTTGAGCTGGGCTATGATTCAATTTGAACTCGTACCAGAAAAGTGGATGTAAATCGCGTTTTGTTTCCACCTGGTTTTGGAGAAAAATAAAATAAAAATTGAGTTACAAACACGAAAAATGTTTACGAAATGTGTGAGAATACATTTTAAATTTACAAATAAAAATATCGAGCACACGTTACAATGAACTCTCTCAGTCGCAGATGAACACAGACTAAACAAAAACGCCCATTTCAAAGTTTCCATCCTAATAACTAGAAAAATAGACATTTTATTCCCGAACAATTGCGGCACACTCCTAGGCATAACCCTATGTTTACAAGCATTATTATAGCGGGGGGAAATATTACACAATATCTGAAAATTAGGTTAGAACACAAATATTCTGCAAAGTTGTGATATCTAACGCGAGCAAACGTGTGTATCACATAGGTTACGAATGAGACACGCGCGAAAATTGATGCAAGTAGCTTTGGCGGTAAAAGTTAAGGGCTGGCTAAGGCCGTGTATTCGGTCTTTGAGACCACTCGTTCACTTAGATTGCATACGGTCATCGCATCCTCAACAACACTTCATCTGCGTGCCAAAGGGGATCACATCCCACAGTTTATCGCCGTAAGCATAGTTCACCTTCTGAAATGCTCGTGCAGTATGTCGGAATTGTGACTGCCCATGTCTACAACACGCCTCCGTATATACTGGGTAGCTTCATCGATGGAGATGGGGGCATCTCCAACTGCTTATGGATACTCAACCCTAACTTTGCGGACCTCTATGTTTTATGTCTAGCTTGAAATTTGCTTGCCATAATAAAAGGACAGTTCCTCCGTAGGCTTCCCAGGCAGGCACGGATCTGCTATCATATCAGCAACACCGATTGCTCATTCTACGTCCGCATGCGTAAATGGATTTCACGTTTCCAGCCTGCTTGCGGTTATTATACGATCCCTCCCATTATGATCACCGTTTCTCACTACCAAGAAGACTATACCTTTTCAGTTCAATTCAATTATTGTCCGTCAAGATTGGCCACCATTTCACTTACCAATTCGCCGACGGTCACTCTAACCCTGTCTTTGTAACGCTCTTCAAGCATGGCGTGTCATTGCTATACGAGATGATCAGTTCCAGATTTACAATTAAATAAATCACGCGTAATGAGTGCAATTTATTGCAACTTGATTCGTTTTCTATTATTGTTGTTTAGCATTACGACGGAATTTGATTATTAAAATGTACTGTAAAATGCACTTCACTGGTTTTCTAGGTACTTCCCTACTCTCCTACCCCGTAGTCAATGCTAGCACTGCATGCCGACGTAAAAGTGTCTCGGCGAGATGGTGTGTGTGTGTGGCCATGTGCTGCTTTTCGCCCAAGCTTATCGTACGTGTGTTCTAGACATGGTTGGCGGCATCCGGTTTCGGATTTGCCTGTCACTGTGGCCAGCCACAGGACGCCTGCGCCTACAGAGGGACCATGGGTGGCTTGCGCTGTACCACCCACAGCTCCACCCACACACCCCATATCCAGTGTAAACCCGAAGGAATAAGACCGGGAGCCATGTGGATGGGAGCCACGTTTCATCAACAGAGCCGGCCTACACTCCTTCACAGGCAAACACAAGCACACTGTATTTGGGGAATTAACCGCACACAAGGCGGTGGCTGGACCGTAGTCCGCTCCACACTGAGTGCATGGAACCGCTCTTCGAGCCTAGCACAACCACAAGTACCTTGCACCCCGTCTCCTCCAGCAACGACCAACTGTATCCTAGAGGCCGTATGGACGAGGTAGTGGGTCATAGACACAGGTAGGCACCTTGTCAACATGCACATCAAGCACAGTCACACCGGGGATATCAAGCAACAGCCAATCACTTGAAACGACAAAATGAAATAAAATAAATCCAATAATGCATACAGATACGGTGGCATAACTCTTCGCTAAATTAGCATATGAAGTAAGTTGGTTAGCAACGAATCCACGATAAGGAAAAATGTCCACAAGTTAGTTAAAAATGCTACAAACGCAACAAAATTACCGAAGATAAGCGCAATTAGCGTAAGCAACGTGGCCTGCAAATAGAAGACTATTCAGATAGGCAAAACTAACCAAATAAACTGGAATGAAATTTATGCAGCTTAAAGCGACCTAGTTCTAGACAACTCACCTTACTATTAACATGGTCCTTTTCTTCGAACACTGCGTTGCGTGCAACAAATCCGTGTCCGTCGTTTACAACTTGTCTTGTTCGCGACACAGAATATGGCACCGGATTTCGCGCGCTTATCTGGTTAAATTAAATGCATTGTCAACCTAGGTTATTATGCCTATTTTCTTGAAGGCACCACCGGCTATCTCGAGTGCCTTTCAAACTATCTGGATAGTTTTGTGGATAAAATTGATTGTGAAATCACACAGAGAGCATGATGTGCTACGTTGATCAACGCTGCATGTTCGCTGTCACATTAGGTGCTCCTCAGCACAACCACCTCTCCATAAACCCTTGGTTTGTTTTCACAGGGATTCACTTCTAATGAAAGTCAACACTTGGCAACATGTGTGCATTTTGTGTCCCCATTCACATCCTGTCTAAACTAACCGAATTATTCACTCCTTCACCAAAACTCTATCGCCGTTTTAAGTTTGACTTCGAAGTTTGCACGTGCATGCGTTCTCTCGCTTCACTTGTATTGTTCCACATTGGGTTTCCATGGCTTCCAAACGGGATAGACTTCGCTTAGGATGTCCATAAAACCTATCTTCATAATAATAATGACAGGGTATATTTCTCGTGGTACCGAGAAACAGAGCCCACAAAGAGACGGATCATATTTACATTGCAACATGCTCAGCCATGCGAGGCTGTCAACTATTTGGGTTTTTACAGGGTCACAAAACGGATGTTTTTGCGAATATTTTCATTTGGGACTTTTGTCGCCGTATGCTACCAGTTCGTGGGCATTCTCATTTGGTTGTTTTCGGTGCAGTTTGGTGGTGCCATGATGGCGGCGGTTTGATGTGGAGGGGGAGGGAGTATACAAAGGATGAAACGGTTAGATTCACCAATCAAAATCAGATGAGTAATACACAATCTTCCTTAATAGACTGGAGTAATAAGTTGGAGCTATTTGTGAGCAGCAAGTTAGAGAGTTGTGAAAATAAGGAACATACTGTATTGAGGTAACTCCGGTGGATCATCCAACTTGTTGCTTTATCAGAATAATAGAGGCAATATTCACATCGTAAGGAGTCAAGGCACAACGTAGTATATAGACATCCGTTGGTCTAATTATGCAGTTGAACCAGCCAAGTTGTGTTTAGGGCTGCCGGATGGTTGAGATACCGCGGGAACTCAGTTGCCTTCCTTTCAGCCTTCACTTGTAGGTGGATAGTTAGGGAGTGCGTGAATATGCACGGTAATGGTAATGTTGAAAAGGGAGAATTAAACGGATAAATAGAGAAAGAAATAACAGCCTATTCACTGCAGTCAGAAGTTATTCAGTGGCTCCTAGTCTTATATAAGATGCGAAAGACAGGATGATTAGGAAAGTGTGCAATAGTTATCCGATTTTTAGTGTAGTGATATAGAAGAAATGCCCCACAACTAAGAGGAATAAGGAATAAGTTAATGGGAAATATCGGTAAGACAGTAGGACGGTAGAGATGAAGTAACTATGACCCAGGAGCACAACAGTTTCAATACAAAATGAAGTAGGGTATGAAGAAACAAGTGAAGTAATAAGCTCATTCGTGGAACCGTCTCTCGGGAACCTGCTTCCATGCGGGATATTCCCTCGAGAGGTTTCACTCGCACCTCCACGTCCCCTCTGGTCATGTATTGGTGTGGCCCCTACCAATTTTATTCATCATTTGGGCAATTGCTTTTTTCTGGTGAGCTACTTACTCAAACCAGTTAGCCCTTTCGTCATTCATCCTTTTTTGCGTGCATGATGAGCGGGATTACCGGTTGGCGTTATATGCCATGTACTTAACTAGCGATTTTCTCGTAACTATTATCATCAAATGCTATGGTGCTTAGATCCAACGTGCTTCCAAGTGCTAAATGCCTTTCTCGCTCCATGCGATAAATGCTCTAACGAGGCTGGCATACTCACAGTACTCGCGAAAATTTACTTCTCTATTTTGCACACGCTATCACGCTCACTTTTGACCCGAAGAAATTCCCCATTTGCTACCAAACCGTTTCTCTCTGTTTCAATCACACGAATTCTTCATGTCACGCTCACACAAACCATTAAGAAGCAGTGGGCTCAGCATTCCCCATACACATACTTCTTATGCCAGTTAATATGTTGTCTGATTCAAGATGTAAAGGCTGTGCACGATGGTCCGCATGTATGCAGTACGACACTTTCCAGCCTCGAATAATCCACTAGCAGTAGCATGCGCACGCACATTATCATATCGGTAAAGTTGGCGGTAGTCATTTAGTCGCAGGAGGGTTCGCATGTTTTCCACAATGTCTTCCTGCCGTTGATTCCACGAGACCTTATTCACCAATTGATATTGCTTGGTTCTCCGGTCCCTTTTCCATCCTGTTCCATTGTCTCCCTATTCTTGCTTATATCCCATCCGTATCGCGAGTAGCTTTCGATCGCCGAATTGTCTTCCTCACAACGTATGTGCGAGCAGGGCTTTTTCCAACTGGTCGAGGATATGTACCGTTTCTGGACCACATTCCAACCTACTTGGCCCCTCCGGTAAGCACTTTCCATTGATGCTTGTTGTATCCGAATCCGGATTTTCTGAGCTCAGTAATTATGCCATGACTATTCTGAACCTATTTGCAATCACATGGATTCTGTCCACCCAACGTTTTTTGCCGTCTACTCGATCACTTGCTACCTATCTCTGACTGTCACGTTAGTTAGTCGGCTAATTCGCATGTGCGAGTAAGCGTGTACGAGCCAATCACACTGTGTCGAAGAAGCCCTGCACATGAGGCTTCGTTCTCATCCGCTCTATATAGTCACTTTAAGGATAGATCCCACGATTCCATCGCCGCTGCTCAATCACCACCTCGTCCATGCGCTTTCAGATTGACAGCGAGCAGCATTTGTCCGCCGAACTGTCGTTTCGCGAAACCTTTGCGCACTCGTTATGGTGCGTTACCCTCTGCCTAAGATTCGATTTAGTTATGATGTGTGAGCTATTTCGTCATAAGCGCTGTAAATCAGTGTTTGCCGATGACATTGGTCTGATCTGATCATTACACGTTAGCTGGAGGTGGAAAACACCTCAGCTATTGTGCCGCAATACAAAAGAAAAAAAAGGAAAACAGTGGCAAACAGTGGCACGCCCGCTGAGTCCCCAGTAACGGATGGACATCGTTCCGGAGAGCTAACAGCTGGCTGCCTAACAGGTGAGATCGTGATTGGAGGGGGATAGTAAACAGGAGGGGGATGGACAAAGGAAATCACAACACAAACGCCATTGATGCCGGCTCCGAGCCATATCAGCAAGTGTGTCCAACCACACGTGTTCACCGTCCTTAGGACCCCAACCAGGCAGTCGGGATGCACCAACCGACGCCAACTTCGAAGTGAGAGTTTTCATTTCTCTCGACCAAGTCATCACTTGGCCTCCCCTCCTCCTCTTCCAACCGCACGCACAACGCGCAAACAATGCATGTCGCGGGAGTCGGTGTGCAGGCATGCGCAACACGTGGCCCAGCCATCGGAGCCTGGTGCGTGATATAATGGTGTTGAGCGGTTCACTCGCTCTTCCTGCACCAACTACGTGACGTCGAACACGCTCATTGCTCACGTGGTGTTCCCACAAGACATGAGCTAAGCTGCGAAGGCAGCGATGATCGAATGTGACGAGCCTCTTCATGTCTGTCGACCTGATGGGCCAGGTTTCACAACCATATAGGAGAGCCGATGACATTGGTCTTTTGTTGAGTGACCTCTGGTCTTTTCTTGGACATTGTTTTGCTAGATGTTTTTCCTTCTCCTCGATAACGCCAGATTGTTTGGTTAGTTTGATAAGCAGGGGACAGGATCTCTTTCTGTGAGCTATTCCCGAGCGTTTGTTCCGCTCAATAACAATACCGCGATGCTGCCCCTATGGGGGATGTGACTACTGATTTCTGAACATGTCTGATCGACGGTAGTCACAAAGATCCTTGATGCTTTCATTCTCCATGGGCTATCGTGGGGACAAGTTGTTTGGGTTTATTGAGCCTATTTCATGGGGCCTGATCTGTATACCCTACCGTCGATTTTGTGTTTTGAAATGTCCCAGTTGTGTAAACCAGCCATTATCAACGGGGACCATAGCAAATTCCAGGTGGGGGCCCTGGAATGAGAAATATTTTTATGGGGGCCATAGAGGTGCGTGTCGTGAAAAGTGGGTTGTGATAACACAAATAATAAAATTCATTTTTAAAAATTTCTGATATTTTCTCTTTTCGCACTTACCTACTCTGGTAACTACCGGTCAGTGAAATGAATTACACCCGCTAGTGGCTGTTTACGTAGGTGTGAAAGCCGCCAGACCGAGCAGACTATCTGTTGCGGAGCTGACACATTGAACCAACTGAGCTCCATGTTGGATACTAATACATCTATCGTGCAAGCTGTATTGGTCCCAGTGAACTCACGTAAGAACACTGCGGCTGTTACAGCACAAGGCCCCACTGACACCGAGTTTTCCTCAGGCCACTACCACTGTGTGACATCTCATATGCCGGTCAGTCCCTTTTTCTCATTTGGTCTCAATGCGGTAGCGCAAGGTTGCCTGTTCTTCTTCTCCAGTCTCAGCTCACGTGTACGTCTGGCGGCTAAGTCACGCTAGCCGACAACCTTCCGAATTCGAGTGGCTACTCTGCGCGCGTAGCGTAATATCTCTGAAGAACGTTCGTTACGTCTGACTAAGAGTCGAAATAGCTATTGACGCGTTATAACTCTTTCTTAACACTCAGTTTAGCTGAAGTTTTCAAATTAGCGAGCAGTTTTGTCAACTTACATCATTCGTGTTGGCATCCAGTTTCTTTGGTGAGTACATATAACATGATGTTTACACAAGGGTACTACTAATTCTCATATTAATTAAATGCCTTACCAACACGCATTTTGCGCCACGTTTGGTAATAGCCGATGTACGTAGTGGTTGCATTGTTGACTCTCCCGTGCCGATTTCTGGAACTATCCGGCATTTTTTTCGTGTTTGTCTCTTCTACATTTTATCTCTTGAGACTATTACCTACAACTTTCCCGCAATGCATGTATGTTCACTGAGCACTGTCATTTTCTTAGTTCCATCTATTTTCTTTATTATCTTTTGTCAAGAAGTTTTCTCCAGTTCTTTTAGCTATCCACGGTATTTTCAAACTCATCCTTAGAAACGAAGTTTGGGTTGTCTCGAACAATGTTTCTACACTTTTACATTTTAACATTGTAGCCACCAACAGATGTTATAAGTATGCTTACCAAATGTCTTGTAACTTCACGGTCAAGCAAGAGTAAATTTAGTGCCACAAATTATTCACGCTAACTGAGTGCTTCGCCTTGTCGAATGACCCTATTTAATACCCATGATGTTTGTAAGTATTAGGGGGATTTATTGGGTTTTGGTGTAGATTCGTCGCAGTTAAGCACAGACAGGCAGCCACCACACATCCAGGAAAGCGCTAGACGGCCGTTTCGTCCTATTGGGACTGGTCAGTAGCGCGCACCCGCCGAATCCTACCGGATTCGAACCCACGACCTTACTGTTGCTAGTCAACGACTTATGTCACTGAGCCATTGGCGACGGCAACGGACCGCCATGACTGATATCTAACTGCGGTATAGCGTGGCTCATCCTCCATTGTCTTGCATGTGATGAATGTGCAGAGGACAGGGCTGGCCCCCAGAGCAACGACTTCCTTTGCCAGCCTCCACCAATCGAGGTGGCAAGTATGCTGCTAAGGCGACTACTGATTATTTGTAAGTAGTAGGGGAATTTATTGGGTTTTGTTGTAGATTCGTCGCAGATAGATGCAGACAGGCAGCCACCACACATCCAGCAAAACGCTAGATGGCCGTTTCGTCTTATTGGGACTCGTCAGTAGCGCACACCTGCCGAATCCTTTCGGATTCGGCGGTCTGCTGCCGTCGCCCATGGCTCAGTGACATAAGTCGCTGACTCGCAAGAGTAAGGTCGTGGGTTCGAGTCCGGCAGGATTCGGCGGGTGCGCGCTACTGACCAGTCCCAATAGGACGAAACGGCCGTCTAGCGTTTTCCTGGATGTGTGGTGGCTGTCTGCCTGTGCTTAACTGCGATGAATCTACACAAAAACCCATGATGTAATTGCGTAAGTGAACCAAAATAAAAGCAGCATATATAGATTACATATTAACAATTTACCATAACATATTTCAGAAATGATCTCCTCGGCAAAGTAATTGTGTCGGCGGTACTCCGAGGAATACCTGTCAGTTGTATACATCACATAATCTCAAAACCCCACTCTACACTGTTTATTTTGCTGAAGCGCTCTTTCAAATGAAAGTATGCGACCAAGTAAACGGAAAAATCATTTGGAAAATGTTCGTAAAGACGAAGGCGGTAAGTTTGTGGAAGGTTTCGGGAAGCTGCGGGATAGTATCGAAATTAGACCAACTTGAGGATATTAGTTTCTGACAGGACAAAATTGGCGAAAATCAGCAAATTAATTGCCAAAAGCTGCAGTCCACCTAATGTTGGCGAAAGTATTATCGTGCGTTCCGTATTAATAACACTGTCTGATCTGAAGAATATAAATCCACAAGAAGCAATTCAAGCCATACCGCTGAGCAACTCAACTACATCGAGTCGAATAGCTGAGATGCCTCAGCATATAGAAAGTACCTGTACTTTACTACAGTCCAGAAAATTTCCCTGACATTTAGATGGATCTACTTTACTTATCAACGACGCTTTTCTCTCTTTATATGTCCGATTCCACAATGATAATGAATTAGTTGCAGAGATGCTGTTTACCAGGAGAATCATAAATCATACAAAGGGCCAGTCTATATTTGAAGTAGTCAATAGCTATCTGACTGTAGACTCCATTTCAACACAGAACCAGTTGCATGTGCAACAGGTGGTGCTCAATTTGGAGCACATGTGTCGACACCGACCATGCACTTGCATGTGCTGACCTGCTGATGCGTTTTAGCGGACGCCCACGACGACGCTGTGAGCGCATTGACACCAGCCAACTAGCGAAACCAGTTGTTCGGAATGCCTATCAAAGTACGCTGACATGCGTGTTGAGTAAGCGCTCACTGGAGACAATTGATGGTCACTGGTCACATGTTCACCAGACCTTACTAGCAGCAGGCAAATCCTCATGTGGTATGTCTAATAACCAACATGGTTATTGCGTCTCTTCGCAGTCTCTAGAACTTATCGTTGCTCGCCGGCATATTCTGGCTGGAAGCGAGCATAGTGAAACTCGCAAGGAGCTCCGGGTCCAACTCCGTGCTAGTCTGAAGAGAGACTGCGAATCTCGGTGGTCTCATCCTGCGTCAGAGATAGAAGTGGCCGCTGCCCTTGGCAACCATCGCAAGTTATTCCGTCTGATACGGGAAACGGGCAGCAGGAGACCTGGTGTTAGTGAAACTATGCGTAACGAGAGTGGACAGCCTATCCACAATTTGTCAAAACGTTTGGAGCGTTGGGCTGAACATTTTGAAAGGCAATTTAATCGGTCGGAATTGTTAGACTT